TTTGCAAACACTTTTCCCACTTGTTCTCACACCAGGTTTCCCAGCACCATTTGTTAAAGACACTGTCTTTTCTCCAGCATAAGTTTTTGCTGTCAAAACATCAGATGACTGTAATTGCACAGGTTTGTTTCAGGGTCTTCTGACCTATTTGGTTGGTCTACATATCTATTTTTGTTCTCACATGGCCTTTTGTCCACTCACGTATGTTGTGCTGAGACATTCAGGCATTCAGGCACCCCGGTATGGCTTGTGTAGACAACAAGCCACTGTAAACTGGATCCCTCTCCAAGCCCTGGTGCACTGCTAGTCTATGAGCAAGACTGGTATTTTGTCTCCCTCTATAACAGTAGTGACTTGTGGTTGAATAATCAGCAAAGACTTTCATATAAAATTAGGGAAAATAAAAGTATGCTTAAAATGACAGTTTCCCCCGTATGATTTGGTTCAGTAAGTGGCAAATGGAAGAGCAATATTTTCCAGCTCTGAAAGTATGGTGATAGTGTAAACATTACAAAAATATGCTTTTTATAGTCTCAGTGAATTGTGAACATTAAGGTAAGCATCTCCCTATTTTCTAATATACTATGAAAAAATTCCTTGACATTTATATTTATTGCAACAGTAAAACAACATGTAGCTTGAATATCACAGATTTTTATGTCTTATATTCTGGATGTGATTCTATCTGTCAGGAGACAGAACCCATACCAATTATTTAAACAAAGAGAATTTAATAGAAGTGCAGTTAACTAGGAATGAAGTTGCTACCTAAATAACTAACAAGATGAAAAACTAGATGGAGATGACACCTCCCATCCCCTAAGACCAAAGGATTAAAGGAAAGGGGCTTAATTGTTGTGTTTTCATGTAAGTGACCTCTAAAAAACAGATGAAATACAAATAGATATTTCTCATATGTGAATAAAATCCAAGGTATTCAAGAGTTCATAAGGTGACTCCCACATTTGTCAGAAACGCAAGTCCATCTAGGTCTCTACTCTGTCCTGGCAAGGGCTATGTGGATATAACCTGTTCCAAGATGGCTGCACCCCTCCACGCTCTAAGCATCAATGTGGAGAAAAGGAAGAGAAGCTGGTTATGCCCCCACTTTTTAAGAGCATCTTACAAGTCCCACCAATACTTACACTGGCTACAAAAGAACTGGTAGAGTTGAGCTGGGAAATATGTGCCTAGCTAAAGATTAGGGTTGTGCTAATTTGAGGAAGTTGAGTAGAATGACCTTCGGTAGGAAACTATCTCTGCCAGACTCTGGGAGAGAGTCGTTAGTCACAAGCCTTGGAGTGAATGAGTCTGTCATCTCCTTTCTGAAAGTAAGATTTCATGGGCAAGAAGGACCAGAGAGTATCTGAGGATAGCAGGCTGGGGAAAGCAGAGCTGCTGAATGAGGTGAACAAAGAATACTGAAAACAAACCACCTTTATTTTAAAATTCTATGCAGGCTCAGCATTTACTTCAACTTTTTCTAACTTATACTTCTATTTAAAGAGTTTGGATTTTACACTAACAAAAGAGGGGCCATGTCATGTACCACTTATATTTATTTTATTTCAAATGCCTCAACTATTTCTTAAAAGGTTTAATCATACTTTTGGTTGTATTCTTTCTTCTGTCTCTTTTTAAAAGTCCTTCTAATGCCAAATGGGCTTTGGATTTACATGGTTATTGCATTCATCTTCGTAAGTTTGTCTCTCTCTTCCCATGAACATCAAAGGGAATGGAAAAAAGGCATCATATTGATAAAATGTAAGTCTTCCAAGACATTCTTTAAATGTCCAATGTGCAAATATGGTAAAAATAAAGGATTCAGGCCAACCAAGTGAACATTTCTCCACAGATGCTTGGAGTGAAGTTGGCTGGCTTTGCAAAGTGGTTCTCTTTATAAACTAGCAGCATTGTTTTATGATGTGTCTGGGTGACAGGCCAACTCCTTAAGTGTTTTAAGTGTATATAGTTAGTATTTTCCTGCAGTTTTGCTTTTAGAACTAACTTATAGAGTAAAGCAGCTGACCATGCTATGCCACGGCACATTGCCTTAGCAGAACTACTGGCAGGAACAACATACATTTCTCCATCAGACACGTCAGATGCCAAAAATTTCACAGATACCTCACCTTTTATTCTTTGATTCTTTATATCATGATAAGAGAAAAATTTTAGGAGGAAAGGGACAGTAGAAAAAAGAAAAGATGAAGACAAATGGAATTTTAAAGTCTTCTGTCATGTTTGCTGCAGGGAATGTTTTCAATGCACAGGTGCTGTGTGCAGCAAAGATCTGACGCTAGTGAAAATGAGTTCTAGCTCCAAATGGACAGCCCAACCTCTTTTGGCAGCCTTCACTCTTACCCTGTGTCCACCGTAAAGACAGACACATCATTACTGATCCACCCTGCTCCACACTCCAGTCCTCTCACCAGGCTGGGTGTGTGCACTTTTCCTAAGATGTTGGTGAGATCTGTACTCCACTTCATTCAGGAAAACAACTTCATCTAGAAAACCACGTATGTAGCAAAATGAAATGATTAGCTGCTTAGGAAAAACCTCATCTTCATGAAGCCCCAATCCTTTCTCTGCTTTTTCCATCTATGCCACCTGCCCCCTCCTCCCTTCTGCCTCTCACTTCTCCTAGAAGGGAGCATGAAGGCTGATGAGAACTCAGTTACCTTCCCAGGAGGCATATGAATAGTACATTAAAACAGGTTTACAAAGGAAAGGGAAGAAGCCCTGCTGGTGGAATTTAAGCAGAATGAATAATGGAAAGAACCGCATATTGGAGCCAAAGAGAACTGGAATTTATTCCACGTCTGTCATTTAGAAAGTGTCTTGGGCAACTTACTTTTCTGACTCACAGTTTGTTTATAAAATCAAAATAATAATACCTGCTTCATTGTACTTTGAGAATTAACTGAAATTATGTACATAAAAATTCAGTGCAGTAAGTGGCGTATAAATTTCACTATCTTACTTCATTGGGAGGAAGATGGAGGAGTTGTGGGAAGCAGCCATGGGGCTTTCTCAGCACTCTAATCTGGGAACAGAACTGAGTGTGCGTGTGTGCTTCTGAAAGGCAGAGTTTAGGGGAAGGGAGGTTACTTAATTGCATTGATTTTTCAAATCTGTATTCTTTGATACTTTTAGTATTTAAAACTTTCTGGTATCAGGGAAAATGGGAAGCCAAATCAAAAGGACCATGGTGAACAAGAAACCCAAACAATGAAGCGGAGTGGCTTGGGAGATTTCATCCATGGGCTGATAAAACCTAGTGAAATGTTTACCTTATTTCTTAAATTCTCTAGATCCACTTTCTCTTCAGGAGGGTACAAATCAAGCAATAAATTTTTCTGAGTTTTGTTTTCTTTGTTGGCCAGTTTGGGCCCAACACATTCTTTTGCCACATGTGTTAATATCACTGTCTTAGGATGTGTCAAAATGAAGAAAAACTTCCTTCCCTTTGCCAGACCTGATCTGATACTCTCAAATGCAAAGATTCAGACTCTTCTTGGCACCAAAATCTAGGCACTGGGCTTCGATTTCAATGGCTTGTTTCTGAGTCCCCAGTGCTGCATTGCTTGCTTGTCTAAATTCCTGGGTTTGTGTGGTGTGCAAAGCCTGGTCTCCCTTCAGGTGCAGCTCCTGCTGCAATCCACATGATGCTTTAGTAAAAGGAAGTGTCTGCCCTTATGGCTGGCCTGAGCTGCAATAACTGAAGAGAAATTATCGTGGACAGAATAGAAATTAAGAACGCTTACATGACTGCTTAATGACAATAAATGCCTGTTTTCACAGACACACATGGGTAGATTGAAATGCAATTACTGTGATAAAATTTTACCCACTAAATTGCGCAACAGCACGTACTTTATGATTCAAGCAGCTTTCAATTGAACTGTGTGTGATAGCACAGGTGGTGGAGTCTGCAGCGCACCACCCTCTCCCCATGCAGCATTTTGTTATCACATGAACAGCCCGAGTTCAAGCATTGAGCAATTGATTTAAGAAAAATATCACTAAAAACATCACATGAAAATGTTGAAAGTTTAAGATCATTTGAGACCACATTATTTCTGTAGCTGTCCAGGGCCATGTGAGCTTCAGGCGGGACAAGTCTGCATTAGAGTTTCTAAGCCATTCAAGAAATGAACAAGGTGTTGGGACTTCTGAAAACAATCTTCCTTGGGTCAGACTGTCAATGCCAGCTAAATTTACTCATGGCCTTTCCTGTGATAAAAGTTACTTACGCTTCTGCCCATAACACCATCTTTTTCATCTTATCAGTCCTTTCTTCTGGTTGGTTCAAGAAAAAGAATGGCCAATTTGTATAAAACGTATTTTGAAGGCATACATATTGAAAACAAGAAAGTGAATTTGATACCAAAAATATATCACATCTGAGCATCTTCATTCCATGGAAGATAGGCAATTATCTCACCAGGGTTCTTCAGTTAACAAATTTCAACGAAATTGGTATTGCTAATCTAGCAAAAAGGTTTTTTTTTGTTTGTTTTCAAAAACATCCTGAGAAGTTCACAGGCTTATATAACTGTCAGAGGGATCCATGCCACTAAAGCTAGGTATCCTTAAAATACAAATTTTCTGTGGGGCCCCAGAGGTATTTCTAAATGATCTGTTGATTTCATTAATCCAATTTTCCCAGTTCTCAATTTCTCTTCTCCAGTCTCACCACCCTGGACACTGAATCTTGGTTTTTTCCTCTGGATCAGTGATGTGCTGGCTTTGTTAGTGTTGGGCAGAGCACTGCTTTCAGTATAGCAATAGGATGATTCATAAATAAATAAAAGTATTTTTCACATTTCTTTTAATGTTTGTTGAACAAATCACATGTGGGGATTGTTACGCAAGCCAAAGAGAATACAAGGCCAGTTAAGAAAAAAGTAAGCCTTTATCAGCAGATGATCTAAGGAGTGTGTGTGTGTGCGTGTGTGTGATAATTTCTTCATTTATTTCCCTGCTTTACTCCACAGATCTTTGAGACAACTGAGGTTCAGTGAGGACTTGCTGACCTTCCAGACTGCTGCTTCGTGGTGAAGTCTGAATTGCAGTCTTTGGGGCTAAGGTATTGGCAACAACATGGACCCTCAGGACTGCCAACCTCACTCCCTTTCACTCTAATCAGGAGCTCAGAACGAGTCTGGCCTGAAATTAGACCAGGCGCTAGAGAAAACCCTTATTAATGGAAAGAGGAAAGGAGAAAAGGACTTCCAATCAACTGCAACAAATGTTCTACCACTCTAAAGAGCCTACCTTCCTTATCAACCAAGCTGTGCTATCTAGTGACTCCCAATCTAACCTTTTGCCAGAAGTAGAATGTGTCAATCCTGGTGGAAAAATAAAGACAAATGCTCAGCTAAATAGACCTGGAACAGTGACACTTTCGGTATCAAGCAGAACTCTGTCTGAAGGCCAGCATCACCCCCCTGTAATACTGTCCCGCAGGCCTGGATTCCATGTATGCTACATCTGTGGCCGAGAATTTGGGTCACAGTCACTTGCCATTCATGAGCCCCAGTGCTTGGAGAAGTGGCGCATTGAAAACAGCAAGTTACCCAAGCACCTAAGGAGGCCAGAACCCTCCAGAACACAGCCTGGCCGTGGCAGTGGGGCCTACAGTCTTCAGGCAATGAATGAGGCAGCATTTCACAGCACCCAGGCTCCACTGGTGCCCTGTGAGTCCTGTGGCTGCACCTTCTTGCCAGATCATCTCCTTGTTCACCAGAGAAGCTGCAGGCCAAAGGGGGAGGGCCCCAGAACATCAAACCCCAATGATTCTGACAATCTTACTGGCTTCAGGAAAACTTCTAGTGGTGTCCCAGCCAGACCGAGGACTCTTATCTGCTACATTTGTAGGAGGAAATTTGGCACCCTATCCCTTCCTATTCATGAGCCCAAATGCCTGGAAAAGTGGAAAATGGAAAATGACCAGCTGCCTAGGGAGCACCGCCAGCCACTCCCGCAGAAGCCTGAGACCCTTGTACCTGGACAGTCTAGCCAAGAGGGCTCAAGTCATGCCCAACTTGTGCCCTGCACAAACTGTAGCCAGACCTTTGCCCCTGATCACCTTCAGGAACACCAGAGGAGTTGTAAAGCTCAATCTACTATACCAAAAGTTCAGAATTTGACCTTAAGAAGCAAAAGTGATCTAAATGCTACCATCAATTCCAGGCAACAAAAGAACATGGCACCACCCAGCATACCTGATAAGGTAATTCGTGCTCTATAAGATGCATTAGCTGTACCTGGGGGTCCGTTCTGCCTCCAGGGCAATGAGAGAAAACTGTTCAGAATCAGCTGCTTCCACCCTTGGGCTGTCTCATTTCTGTCTCCACTAGCCTATCCAAGTTAACCCCTGTTGGATTCTAGAGTCTCTGTCTCTCTTAGTAGAGTAAGTTTAAGAACTTCCTTGCTTGATGGGTTCATATTGTTCTTCAGTCCTGCTGCCTAAAGGAGAGAGAGACTTCTTTCTTCCCTGACCCCTCATAACAATAACCCCTGGGAGAGATTGTTATTTGAAAATGAGTCATTGATGCTTTGTCTACTTTACAGAAATATAATTCTCATTCCAACAGCTGATATTTATTGTTGGTTCATTTTAGTCATCTACCTTAGGAATTCATTTCTGGCAAAGTCAGGTTACACTGAGTTTATCTTACTACAATAGAATCTGTGTCAAAAACCTCAAATGACTTTAGCAATAATTAAACATTGGAGCACTTTCAGACTTTCAGAAATACATGGTTCTGCAAATACAGCATGCTTTTTATTTTAAAACACTTACGTGATTATAAGTAGACTACAACCCCAGGGTGGACAGTGAGACAACTAGTCATATGTTCATGATTCTTGGAGGTATACGCAGCTCTAAACCCTGGGTTGGACTGATCACAGGGTCCTGACCCTCAACACGTGTAATTCTAAACAAGCACGACCCCAGGTGTCTCCAACCTGAATGGTGAAGTTATTTGGCTCTTACCTTCAGTCTCACCATCATAAGCATGCTTCTGAGGGTGGCTGTCCACCAGAAACGGTATAGTCCACACTCTCTGTCCTGTACTAAAGCCAAGAAGTGGATGTACTTTCACAAACAGGTCAAAAATAGGAGATGATCAGCCTCTCCTTATGGCTTACTACTTAAATAAATGCCTGACATGCTTGAACTCTCTAAATCATCGCCTCTCAGTAACAAGGGGTCCGAAAGTATTCAGGAGCTAATGAGTCTTTAAATTGTTTAGTGGAACAAGTTATTCAAGCTATTGTAAAACAGTAAATTAGAGGGTTGGGAAGACATTTTATTTTTAATTTTTTTTTTTTTTTTTTGCCTTCTTATTGTATTTCTTTGGAGACTGTCTAGTCATTGTTCCTAAGTTGCATGTTTAAATGAAATGATCGTGGATTTTCTGGTTTAGGAGATTCCAAGACAATGATTCTAAAACTGAAGATTCAGACTAACAGACGCTGGGCAAGCTTTCCTATGAACATTGAACTAAAAAAACGGCTAGTTTCTTTGCCTAATGAACACCCAAATTCTGAAGTGTGGCATGGGCTTCAAGCTGGTTTCATAAATATGATCTGTTTTTCCCATCTTCTGGCTGCTGCTTTTCTTCCAAAATGTGTGGGGTCTGGAATCCGAGAGTAAAAAGATCTGTGTTTCCAGGGCCATAAATCAGAAACTCCCTTAACATTCTAACTGACAAACCCTGTTTTTTGATTGTATGCATTTACCCAAATGTTCTTATTAGAGATCTAGGGATAGGGAGTGGTGTGGTCAGAATTCTTGCGCTTGTTGTTGTAGCATATTTTGTGCTCCAGTTCTGGAGCCAACGGGGCAAGCACAGCTTGTTCTTGCTCAGTCACAACTGCTGAAGGAGCCTGGCTCGGTCCACAGCATCACAAGGCGACACCTTCTGACTCACCCAGTCATCTGGAGGAGAAAATATCAGAAGGAACGGGCACCAGTGGCCCCTCAGTAATCGTACATGCAGATGAGAGCCAGGTGGCCCCTGGAAGCCAAGCCTATGTCAGAGAGTGCCCAAGTCTTGTTCTCTGGCCTGAACACCCATGTGTCAGTGGGCAGCTGGCACCCACACTGTCAGAGGGGTGCTGGCTGCTTTGGGGACCATGGAGGCATCATCAGTGAAGGACACAGAAAGGTCATCCAACTTATGGCCTTCAAGTTGCCAGATGAAAACTTTTCATTGCCAGGTGTAAAACAGGATTGATTAATTAAAAAGGAAGACAGCCTTAGGTTTCAAAAAATCATAAGCCATCTAATCTAGACAGGTTATTTCCCATTCCACTGTTTTCAGCAGAAAGCCCTTTCTTCATAGTATCACTGTCTTTTTTAGTTGAAATTTTTCCTTCTTCATACTATGTAAGTTTGGGATTTTAGTGCAGTGATGCACTGGCTTTCCATAACAAATACTGCCCTATACTACGCTACTACATTTCAGAATCGCATCTGCCCGCTGCAGCTGGCTTTTGGCTCATGGTGGAGCAAATGCATTTACAATGCTCTGCTTTTACAATGTCTGCTTCATTTCTTCTCTTGTCTGGACAGTTCTCCAGAGCTCTTGACCTGACTTCAGATTAGAACTGGTTATCTTCCCTTTCTCAAGGGGCTTAACCAAATTCAGGTAAAGCAAACACTTTCAGAATCATGAGTGTAGCACTTGAAAAATGGTTTTCTATAGTCAGGTGACAATGACCGTTTTACTGACAGAGTGTACTACCCTTTGCTCAGAATGTTCCTCCAACAGAGAATAACTCAGTTCTTTATGACACAGATGCTTTGATTATTCTTCAATCAAATCTAAACACAAGTAAAGGTAGATAAGATAAGCTCTCCTGCAAGATCTTGGTGGGCATCATCTCTGTCCTGTAACCACTGTATCGGTTCGAATTTTCCCATTGCTTAGCATCTGAAATACAGGCCCAACTTACTCTTCAGACCTCATAAGAAAACTTTGAAAGACATGGGCAGTATTAAGAAGGGCAGAAGCCTGCTGTGCATTTTATAAGGGTGTGGCTTTCCTGGGACCGCTGCTCTCCTGCTGCGTAGTGTGACGAGCAGCATGGTGCTGCCATTCTTTCCTCTGAAAGAAGAAAAGCTGGATGGACAGTACTGAGCTTAGCAAGTTTTAAAAAGTGGTGCTAATTCTAGATGAAATGGTGATGCAGAACACAGAAAACCATACATTACTATTTTAAATTTTAATATTTCATGTACTTAATGAGAACTTTGATAGTTATTTAATAAATTATTCTCTAAGCTGTATTGAGGAATATAATAATAGATGTCATTATTATTATTCCTTATTTGAAAGTGAACAAATAAATTTTAATAATTACATTTAACATCTGGCCCTTTTTCTAGAAGCTGATAATAATTTCTTTAACTTTAGATCCTTCCAGGCTAATTGGGACACAAGCTGACAGGGTTAAATAAATGTAACTATAAACCAAAGCAGAGCTTTTGCCTAATCAGTGTTCATTAGGTAATGCTTAACGTTATTTTGTTAGGATTTTGCTGGTAACATAAAAATACTGTCCCTAAACATCCTGTCCCATATTATAAAATATGTATACTTTTCATTAAAGGACACTATCTTTTCTGCAAATGACTGTCTCTCAGAATGTAGTTTTAAAACTTCTGTACTCAGTGCTCAGGTTGATGGAAAAGCTCCTCAACCACGTCACTAGCATCTGGTGCTGCCATCTGCTGTTTTCTTTTAAAGCAATGTTTTCTTCACTATCAAATATATTATGCCTTCCTCCTCTTTGTTTTATCTCCAAACATATTTGAAAAGGTGCACTTATAATATATATAGTAAGTTTATAACTATACATATAGCTATTTAGGGCAACAGTTACAGATTTGATTTAAACTTACAGATGCTTTTTACTGGCAAAGTATCTCTTTCTTTAAAGCCAAAACTATCTGTGGACACGTCACAATCAGAAAGTGTCAGGGCAGGACAAGTATTCTCATGCTGTCTCATTCTGCATGTCTGCATGAACATCCATTAGGAAAAAGAATGCGTGGTTTTGGGGGGAAGAGGAGGAAGGGAACTAACATCCACTGAATACTTCAATAACAAAATACTGGAGACTGGGACATTTATAAAGCACACAAATTCATTTCTCTCAGTTCTAAAGGCTGAGAATTCTAGGATCAAGGCACCAGCAGGACTGGTATCTCTGGAGAGCTGTTCTCTCCTTCTAAGGTGACACTTGGCGACTGTGTGCTCTGGAGGGAAAGAATGTTGTGACAGAAGAGGTGGGCAAGCCAGTGTGTGCTCCCTTCCCTTCGACATGAGGAGGGGGACAGGAATGGGGGACGAGGAAGGGGAAAGAAGGGCAACATATTATAAGTGTGTATGAAAATGTCAAATTAACTCACTATTCTTAGTAATTAGAATACATTAATAGAAATAAATTTTATTAATTCATTTTTAAAAAGAGACTGCTCCCTTTAACTTCAAGCCCTATTATAGGAGTGGAATCCTATTCATTCGGGTGGAGCCTTCATAACTTAATCCCCACCCAGAAATCCCTCCCAAAATCCCCAGTGTCACACTGGGGATTAAGTTTCAACATAATCTTGGAGAAAATGCCATCCTTCAAACCACAGTGTTTTATATAAATTTCAGTTGCACAAATCTTACTATAAGATAGACATTATCTTCCGTAATTTCCAAGTGGAAAGACTGAAGTGAAACGATTGGCCCAAGTCACACAATAGATTCACAAGCAGGTATGAAACCTGGTCTTCCCTTGCCATGTCACTGTGAGAGGGGAGAAGGAGAGATGGAGAGAAGGGTACGTCACTTGCAAAGCCTGAGCATTAGGTAACAAGAGGAAACAAGTCTAAGTAATAAATATAGAGTATAAACATAAAATATATAGACTAAATATATAATCTAAGCACTAATATATAAATACAAATAAGGGACTGCTCAGCTATTGACCTCGTGAAGTCTTTAGTCGTATGGAGGAAGTATGAATATAGAAATACACATAGACACACAACTTCAAGTTGTCATATGACAGTTTGAGGTAGACATCCAGGATTTTGGCCACAGTAATCCTCAAGGAGGGAGAGTTTCGGTTGAGACATAAAAGGGGTGAAAGCATTAGCTCAGGGCAGAGATGTGAAGGGCAGGAACCGCTGCAAGGGGTACCGTCCCGGCTTAGGGTAGCATGTGT